AAATAATGGAACAACAGTCTTACCTTCGGGAAAGGACTATAAACTCCTTAAAAGAACCGTAAAGTCACTCTATCAGGTGGTTCTTGAGAAAACCAAGGACCACCAGTGACACCGGTGTATATACAACCATTAGAAATTTTTTTTTCTATTTTTGAACGCTTCGCTCATGAAATTTTCCTTTCCATTTCGATCGCGCAATAATAAACGAATTTATGACGCTCACATTTTATCATCATTACACGGCGGAAGAAAGGTGAGAAATAACTAGCTAAAGGTGATAATAAAATGCAATTTGCAGTTACCATAAAAAATTACATTTTGCACATGACTCTATGCTCCGAATTGCAATAAAAAAATCACGTTTGCAGATAATTGACTTGTTAGTCTAACTAGCCTTCGGAGATTCAATTTGCTACTATATAAAAAAATTACATTTTACACATGATTGACTCGATAATCGATTTTTTTCCATGCCCGCATTCGCAAAATTTTTTTCAACTCTCAAGGGCTCACGAGAAATAGTTAGAAGCCGGCCTAATCACGACCTCACCATTCAAGCATATAAATTTAATGAAGATGATTTAAACGTGCTGAAAGTGAGATTTCAACTGGCAGCTGAAGACCACGTTATTTCTAATATTCCTAACGAGAAAATTGAAGAATTTCCAGAGAAATACTTTTGTCCCAAAGTAAACAGAAAAATGCTCATAGATGAAGATTTCGATATTAGAAAAATTAGCAATTTTTCGGATAGTCCCATTAGAACATTCTTTCGTAAGATGCAAATCGTTACGAGAAACCCATTAGGAATGCCCGAGTCTAGAACAGATGATTTAGTAGCTGATTTGCTTCGTGTTGTTAAAATGAATGATGATCCCTTGATGATAGCGTTAGTAATTTAGGAAATTTGTGCCTTATTACCTTATTTCAATGGCTTGCTAATTTTTTTTCAAAATCTAGACAACATCTACCAAGAAAATTATATATTTTAAATGAGCCTTACGTTTCGGCAGAACCTGAATTTGTGGTAACTAAAGGAGTAATATCTATGGTTTTTGTAGAAGTATGTATTTTTTTTATTCCTTGGCAGGTTAATGTCCTTGATTACTTAAATAAGTTTTTTGACAGGATAAAACCTTAGAAAATACCAACCGTCTTTGTGCTTATGGAGAAATGCAAATTGCTGCCGAACTGCTTGCTTGCGAAAATGATAATGTACGTGAAGATAGCAAAATCACTGATCAGGTTTTATTTGGTGCTTGTTTCATTTCTACTTATGTTACATTCTACAAGGCCAATATTTCCTTCGAATATTAGAAAGAGCTTGCTAAAGGTTTACCAAAAAATAATTCAATTGAAATCAAAAGATGACCAGGTGAAAATGATAAGAAAAGTGGTCTTGATCTTGCACACCCAGATGGAAGGAGAAAAGTGTTAACTGCATTAGCCAAAATTCGTCAATATCTTTTGAAATAGGTGAATCAGTAATAATAGCGTGATGCGATTAGTTAGCTGTGCCTTGAGGCACTTTATATATTAGCACGATTTATTACAACTAAGAAATTTCATGACGTATATTATTTTTTTATTTCGTATCGCAAAATATATAATATTTTCTGTTCGCCTGTCACTATACCTGCCACCCAAATTCAAAATCCAAATGCCGAAATCCCAAATGCCGAAATCCCAAATCCCAAATCCCAAATTATGATTAGTATTTTTTGCCGAAATCCCAAATCCCAAATCCCAAATACTAGTAATTTGGGATTTTGGCGTCCCAAATCCCAAATGATTTGGGATTTGGGCAACACGTATACCTGTCACATAATATTTGATGAGCCGATTAACTAGTAATAATTTGTGTTCCATAAATATACATTTATTTTTATATCGGGTTTGTAAGCGTAAATTGAATATTAAAGTTGTTAAATTTAGCAAATTATGCAAGAAACCATTTCGATGCCTTGCCTCTTAAAAAAATCGGTATAATGTGCTAATTTTATTAGGAAAAATCATACCGAAGCAAAAAAAAATGATATATTAGTTTACAGGACATGCATATGTATATTAAAACAATCTGTAATTTAAATATTAGGTTATATATTATACATATATTATTAGATTATAAGTCGAAAACTTCAAATGCTTGGTTAACGAAACCCTTAATTTTTTGTATTCTTTTGGGGATAACTTTTTCTGGATTTTCATCGTACCATACCTCAAGTAAGAAAATTCCGTTATCTTGACATATACAGTGGGTGATCAAAAATCACCGGACAGTTGAAAATTTTTAAAAAAATTACTAAAATTAAAATACTAATTGTACCACAACGAGTGATCTAATTTGCACAAACTTTTTTTTATTAGATTTCCCTAAACCAGAGCTATTATATAATATATTTTTGTTAAAAACTAAGTGTCTGTACATAGAGAAATTACGCTTCAAAT